CACACACACACACACACACACACATGCACTGATTAGCCTGATTGAGTAGCTTTGGTGACTCACTAACTGCCTGACTGACAGACTAGCTGAGGTTCATCATAAGAGACTTTACACAAAAACTCATGCAGGAGTTCGGGTTGCTATACACTCCATGTAGTGTACAAAGAAAGACAAAAAAGAGGTTTTTTTTTTAATTTTTTAATATTTTGGATTACAGCTTGATTCCGCATAGTACTTTAGGTACAAGTATGGAATTTTCAGCATGTGATATCGGTAGCCCAAATTTTGCACGCCAATCATTGATATCAGGTGTGCATCGGTAGGGGCTCGAACCCCGGAGCATGTGCATGGTCGGCGAGAGTCCTAACCATTGTGCCACCGACGCACAAGGTAATAAAAAGAACGAAATGTTCCAGGAAAAAAGTAGTAACCAGGAGAAATATGTGAGTTTAATGGATATTGGGGAAATCACAAAGAGTAAAATGTATCTTCACCATCGAGAATGATTTTCATCCGTAATATCACTAATAGTCTTCAGAGTCATTGGTTCTTAGCATTCCGAAGACCCCGATCTGACCACTCTACACTCTATCTGATATGGCTGCTGCCTAAAACCTACTATCAAAGACTTCATGGACTAAGTGGTACCAGGTTGTATTTTAATAGTTTGGTTAAGTGCGTTGGTGGTTAATATAAATGAATCGGTAAAGATAGGTTTAGCTAAATGTCAATATAATCGGGCCAGGAGCCTAACTAACTAGTATGCCAGAAGATTTAAATAGTAAGATCAAACATTATCAAGGAAGTTTTCAAGTATTGGCTTTGTAGGGATTTTTGTTTAATTGGTTGGAGGTGAGGCATTAACTCATCGAAGAAGACATTACGAAGTCATGAATTGGCAGAAGTTAGAATTCATAGTGTGACATTGGATCGGTTGGGTCCCAGTGGCGTAATGGTCTAGGAGCTCACTAGCCCTGTAACCAGAAAGTCCTCGGTTCGAATGTGGTTGGTGGATCCATACAGATGAAGAGTCCCATACTAGGACGAAACTGCTGTCCAGTACTCTTAGGTTTTCCAGTTGTTCTGTAACTGATGTCAGCTCATGATGAAATCCTCCATCCAATCAAATAAAGGAAGTATTGTTAGTAAGTAACTTCCCAACAGAATTTATTCAGAAATGTATGAAGAACTATGAGAATGACAAAAAATCACATGAATAATATAGAATTTAAAGCCTTTGTAGAACTGTTGTATAACGAAAGAACACCGGAGGTCTTACGTGGGAATGCTGGAATTGGGGTGGTATTTAAACCAACCAACCAGGTCACTCAGAGATAACGTTTGTTGGCCTAAGGACCCAATAGATCCAATTAAGAAAAATAATGTAATTGATAAAAGTACTCAGAAGTGGCTTTAGAAGTAAAAGTTGTAATTATAAATTAAGTTGCACTCAAAGGCGACAAAAGGAGAAAGGGTTAGAAATTTGATAAGGTTAGAATTGTTATTCAGTGAGAAGAAGGTAGTTGAGTGTTAATTTAACAAGTGTGAAGAGGGTGAGAAAATACACAAGAGGAACATATAAGAGTGATAATATTGAATTATTTATTAAAGCAAAAGTAAACTAAAAGCAAAACTAAAAAATTACAGGGAACGATTAGTGAAGAGGTTAAGACTATGGTAGAATAAGAGAGTGGACAAACTTTTTGTGTATACAGAGTTTGGGGTTTTATTGACGAATTTCCAACGTCTTCACTGCACACAATTGCCGAAACCTGACGCCTTTTGTACCATTTGGCAGGTAAGAAGATGTCTGCGAGCCATTCGGCAGTAGCGTGATATGGTAAGTTTGTCATATCCAAGACTGGACGTAGTTCGTATGTTTCCTTTATGCACTTTAGCTTCACCGTATAACCAGTGAATTACAGAACCTAGAGGTCGTATTTGCTAAAATAATTCAGAGTTGATAATCAATTCGTTCTTCATCTTCTTCAGAATTTGTGTGTTATCCTTCCTTCAATTCGTGCAGTTTTGTCTTCCTGGTTACTTTCTTCTGAAATTTTGTTTTCATTTGGTATGATGGATATCATTAGATCGACATAGTCTTCGTGATTTATCAGGACGATGACAGCAGCTTTATCTGTGTGGGTCAGAACCAAGTCTTTATCCCTTAAAATCTCATGTAGTTGCTCAGCTGGAATCAATCGTTATACTGATGACAGCTATTCAATACTGTAGACTTGAATTGTTCATATGGTTTGTTTGACACTGGAAAATTATCATTTGTTTGATAGATCAGTGCTTCACACTGGACAATTTATATGCAAATTAGTCAAATTTGCCTAAATATCACAGAATTTTGGATCTATCAACAAAGCTTGCAGTTAGGTGAGAGTTAATGATGTACTGGATTAGCTGAAAACGTATTTCTCTGCTGTGGCAGCAAAACGTAAATAATTGTCAGCTGCTGCTTTAAGACTATTTGCGAGTTTTAGGTTTACATCTTCACAACATCTTCTTGAAACTTGAAAATTTCTCTGCTCTCTCACTCTCATATTGTACCTTTTGTTCACTTTTCTCGCCCTCTTCACACTTGTTAAACTGGACACTCAACTACCTTTATTCTCAATCAAATTTCTAACCCTTTCTTCTTTTTCACCGTTGAGTAATTTACGTAATTTACAACTTTTATTTTTTACTTCCTTAATTAATATACTATACCAAATACCATGTAATAACTGTGAGGTGAATTACACAAGTCAAACTAATAGATCGGGGTCAACTAGATTTTCGAAACATGAAAATTTAGCTGGAGTTAGAAAACTCTCACCCTGCTAAATTAAATAATGTAGAAAAAAGCTCAGCCATTGCTATGCATTCACTTGCATGTAATCACAAAATAGGTTGGGTGGGACAGAATGAAAAGATTGCAAAGTAATATGATGTGAGAGAGAGAGAGAGCTTAATTACTAAATCTTTGTTCATCGATTCACCACCTCACACATGCATTCAGAATGACGCAACGCCTATATCGGAGATGTGGAGAGTGGCAACAGACAACAAGGGGAAGTTGGAGGGACATGATTATGAGTAGGCAATAATTTATACTCGAAACCTTGTCATCCATCCAGTTTATTATTATTAATATTGTATTATCACTGTGTGATATTTGGAATAAACCTAGCTAATCAAAGTGCGTAGGTTAAGTAGTCCATAAATCTTAACTGTGCGGACAGATAAACAGAAAGGCATATTTATATAGTGTGTATATGTATGTACATAACATGTTGTAAATTGCGTAATACTTGTATGTTGCATGGTGCTGCTGTACAATGGTAATTTAAAAACACTGGAATTGAAAACAAATGAAAATAGTTAACATGATTTAACCTAAAAATGCAGTAATCATTAAAATGAATGATTTCGAGTTGTGTTTTTTTTTTATTTTAAAACGTACTTTCATGTAAACTGAACGACTTTTTAAAAATTTTCGCTCACCACTAGTGTTTGTTCACATTAAATAGATACGTACATGCATACACGCTAAACATTTATCATTCTTATTCAAGTGTTGGTTTGTAGGGATTTGATTGGTTACAGGATTTTCATCATGAGCTGACATTAGTTAGAGAACCATTGGAAAACCTGGGAGTACTGGACAGCTGTTTCGTCCCAGTTCATCAGTACAAACCCACCGCCAGGGTTCGAACCCAGGACCTTCTGGTTACAAGGCGAGCTAGCTCGTAGACCATTAAGCCACTGGGACCCGTTTCAATAGCCCACGAATTCTAACTTCTGCCATTCTGTTAAATATGGTCCAAACCAAGTTGACTTTTAACAGTTCGAAAAAATTAACGTTGAGGATACTTTTCCAGTGCTAAAATGAGATCTGTACAATTCATTCTTGGAGAAACTGAACAGTCTATCTCCTGGAATCCGGTTTACTTCGGAAGTAGAATCAGACGTCGGTGAACTGCTACCATTTCTAGACTGCCTAATTAAGAGAAGGGAAAACTAGCACACTCTTTGAAAATAGGTGAGAAGGAAAAAGAAGAAGAAATATCGAACATTATTGAAATTTCAAGAAAAATAACTATCCAAAGAACTTCAATATTAAAATGAACGCCAACATGAAACATAGTCAAAAAAAGCGTGCTCCAAAGACATGAACCCCAACAGTTGTCATCGTCTATTGATCTGAAAGCTCGACATTAGAGTTTTCTGCAAAACATCAGACAAACTGCGAAGCAACCTTGTTCATATAAAAGACTAAGTCCTTTAGGATTCTCTATCTAGTTGGCTTGGTATGTGATGTGGCATACATCGGATAAACATCTTGAGAAATCAGAAGAAGTGAATACCGTAGAGCCGCATCTGTTCGACCACCGAGAAATCCAGTTGAACTAGAAAAGCTTGAAAAACCACCAGGCATAGGTCTACACGGTAGAAAATCAGGCCACAAAATTGATTTTGACAATGATGAAATAATCCAGGAAAAGCATTTCAGAAATCACAAAGAACGCCTGATATCATCAGAAGCACTTCATATTAAGTGGAATCTAAATTGTTTGATAAATAGGAATGACGGAGTAAAACAAGTGAACTGTGCGTCGGTGGCACAGTGGTTAGGACTCTCGCCGACCATGCGCACATGCTCCGGGGTTCGATCCCCTGCCGACGCACACCTGATATCTATGGTCGGCCTGCAAAATTTGGGCTACCGATATCACATTCTGAAAATTCCATACTTGTACGAAAAATATAGTGTGGAATCAAGCTGTAATCAAAAAAATTTCTTTTATTCCCTACGAAATTGAAACTACTCTTCGTATGCTTCGGATATATTAGATTGTAATAATAAATTTTAGGTATTTTATATTCAGTGTTCTGTAATTTGTTAAGTAAAGGTCGTTTCCAAGTCTATTCATGTTAAGAAAGAGGATAGTCTTGCCGCAATAATTTGTTTTTTTTCATGTTGTATCCTTCTTCTTTTTACATTTTAGACTCACACTGTTGTACATATGTGAATTCTGTTTGAAATATATCAAAACTCGTAATGTTTACCTACGGCATATAGTAAGTTCACATGCTTTTTTTTCCCTTCTAATATTGTTGTCCATTGGATTCGTTGTATTGTAATTCATACATATTTTGGTGTAAATTACGTAATTGAAACGTTTCAGTGTTTTTTCTCACCCTCCGAAAAATTTAAAATACACCACTGTATTTCACATTTTTTTTCGGCGGGGGGGGTATTTTACAACCAAAACCGACTTGTTTCTGTTTTGAATGCGAAAAACTCAATCTCTGCGTCCTACTGTGTAGTCGACAAAATGTCCATCAAACATGCACAGTAGTTACAAAACCACTCCAAAGACAGCGAAAAGATGATTATTCTTGAATGAATCTAAATGTGTGTGTGTATGCACGCGCTCCTATTCAATCAATATTAATGACATCAAAAACGCAACTGTACAAGCATTGTAAGTTTCTAAGGACAAATTAACCAGTGGAGAACTAAATTAGTTTACCAAAATTTAACCGTCTAAATATCAAGGAGAATATTCCCAACAAAGTGGGATCAAAAACTCTGTCCATAAGAACCATAAACCAGTAATTTCCTCAGATAATGTGAGGTGAACTCTTCCCAGAACTCCCACCGATGTCTCCGAGTTCGGTACCTCGTTACCGCGCCGGGCACACACTGAATCAAAGATTCAACATGCACGAATATCTGTGAATAGGGTCGGGAATATTAACTCGATTCCCTTCCGCTACATGGGGCTGCATTGCAACAGTACGATCTAGCAGCAATACACTAACAAAGCCCGCAAGCAGACACGGTTAGGCATTCCGTCTCTGTTCCGATTTACGGGATTACTTACGGCCAACTGCTGTTCCCATGGAACCCTTCTTCACCTCGACCTTCAAAGTTCTCACTTGAATATTTGCTAATACCACCAAGATCTGCGAACAAATGGGAGAGAGGAATTTATGATATTTTTAAAGCTACTAAACAGAATACACCAATATCTTCCACATAGCATCAAGAAATTCCCGTTTTTAATTCATCTTTTTGTCAACGTTTTTCGGTCAGCTGTTTGGACTGACGTTGGCATTATATAACTTCAGTTTTTTCTAGGGATTGTTATTCGTATTTTTGTTTTATAGAAAATTTATGGTGATTTGCTTTTGGCAGTGAAAGTTACTAAAAGGAGGGAGGAGTGTACATTGATTTCTTTTATATATTGCTCGAATGTTTTGCTGTGATCTAGGCGTGAACAATTGTAATAATCGAGGAACCGCAAAAGTTAACTCTCATAATTTGTAAATAACAAAATTGATTTCTATTACTTCAACCCGAAAAATCGATTATTATTATTATTATTATGCCACTAACTCGTGTATTCATTTAAGTATGATTTCTATAGGCTTATCAGTCTAGCCAGTGGCAGACTAGAGATATTTTAATCTTGTTGTGAAAGGTGTAATTCAACTCAGTATTAAAGGCTTTTTCATTTCTTCTGTCCCAAGTGCAATATAGGGCTTCAGCAGCGTGGTGGCGTTATTCTTCTTTTCACGGAGTGGAGTTTCTAGCCTAATACCCAGCATTCTCTTATTTCTCGGCCTACTGTAGGCTAGTAATCTGGAAGAGGGTTTTGGAGTGTGTCGACTAGGAGTCGAACCCATATAACCCGACGGTTTTAGGTTCTCTCCCCTGTAGGGCATAAATGCTGATGCTGAAGAGTCCCAAATCAGCATGTGAAATAACTGTGTAGTACTCGTTAGTATATAGAATCTGAGCATCGATAAACCAACTGGGAGGGGGAGTATTTCCTTGTTAAACTTACCTGTGATACTATTCACTATTTATTTACTGTTGTTCTTCTTATAGTGTCGTTGTTCTCATTTATATTAGTTTTTACTCACTACTAAATAAATCATCTCTATTTCTTGCGTGGAGCTGTAACTGTCACAGTTTGCTTCGTTTTTGTTTAGGGGGGGGGGGGTGAGAAATGGCTGATAAAAGTAGAAGATGCGAATAGTGTAGTTGTCTTGGACCATAAATGGTTGGTGCGTCGGTGGCACAGCGGTGGAGTGCTCGCTAACAACACCTCATGTGGTTCGGGGTTCGATACCCGGTCGACGCACTCCTTTACCCTCCACTAAGCCAATAGTAAGATTGGTCAAGAAGGAAGGTTGGGCATGAGGCTAGCAACTCCATCGCGTAAAAATAACTAAATAGACACCACTGCTACCGAAACTTCAAGCCTCTCTAGCCTCTATTTTCCACTGGGAGCGTATAAGAATAAAAATAATAATAATAATAACAAATGGTTGTTTTATGGTGAGTAACATTACGGTCGGGTATAGAGTGTTACTTATAGAGTTAAATTCATTCGTTAAGATGTAGTGAAGCTGCATCGATTGAGATGACTACATGGCGTGTTATGTGTTAAGTATGCCTAACTACCGACTTGCTTGTCGAACAATGTTGGAAGAAAGTAAAGAGTGGTTGAACAAAAGCATACCGTCAGTGCTGTTTGTCTGTTTTCGACATAGAACTTTGCACCGATGTGCACCAGTTCAAGTAGCCACACTCCCTCCTTGTACCACGCAAAGCAAGAGAAGAAAGTAGAAGAAATGCATAATAGAGACAGTAAACAGAGGTGTGAGACAAAGGAATAGTAGTAACGAAGAACCAAACAATTTCATTCGAAATCATAAGTCACAAGGAGTGGATGCATCTACCCCAGCCATTGAGAACGATGAATTTGAGCCATATCGCCAATTGTTTCCAACCATTGGTTTTCAGGGTCCGAAAGACCTCAACCAGTCAGGAAGTCTACACCTCCCTACGTGACTGGCTTAAACTAAGTATTGTGGATTTGATTGACTGGTGAAGCCATGTTTTGGTTTAAGCGCCGCCAGCTCTTTTCCAGCCTGACCCATCCAATGTCAGCTAACATTGCCCATTGTCGAGGAAGGCGATGGATGACTAGGCATACGTAACACGTATCCTAACCATCTCAATCGGTGTAATTTCACAGCCTCGTCGATCGATTTCCCCTCCTTACCTGGCACTCGACCGATGCCTAACCTTATTACACCTACCACTTCACGCGGGAGATAGAGCGCAGACACCTATGATCAAAGACAGCTAGCCAGTATTTTCATGTCTTCCACTCTCAACGGCCAGGTCTTTCTCGCAGCTATAAAGGAGGACGGAGCGGACTGCTGAGCAGTACACTCGCCCTTTGGTCAATAGTCAGCCGGATATTACGTCTGCTCCAGAGACGGCGTAAATTGACAGGCACATGCGAAACGAGCCGTCTGTATCCGTGCTGAGATTTCGTCAGAGATCAACCTATTGACACTGGCTGATGGTACTTCCCAAATAAGTGAAGTGGTCAATGTGCTCTACCACTTCACTCCCTATTTCTAAACTAGGTGTCAGTGTAGTCCAGCCCAGTCCTGTAACATCATCTTACATTTGGTGGGAGCGAATCGTCTGCCGAGCATTCGTAGATTGAAGCTCAAGGTGTTCTTCGTGCACTGACGGTATCAGCGCACCGAAGGAATGTATACTGGTTGACTTAAGGTCCTTGAGAAATAACTGTCTAGTAAGTACTATTTTAGTGTTGGAATACTTCAATTGAAATTCTAGCTATACATTAACCTAAAGATATTTTTCTTAAATTAATGTTAAAATCTATGATTTCATTCATTATTCCTGTTTTTTTCTCTACTCTCTTTTTCGTAATAATCCGTATTTCATTGTTTTACTTATCCAACTTTTGTCTTACAGGAAAAATGTCCGTACAGTTTCCCACCTGGCAACGAGATCTATCGATGTAAAAATATTTCAGTGTTTGAAGTTGATGGATACACTTCCCGGTTATACTGTCAACAGTTGTGTTTATTGGCTAAATTATTCTTAGATCATAAAACGCTGTATTATGATGTTGAACCATTCCTTTTCTATGTGGTAACAGTACACAATGGAGAGGAGGAAGAGAATGATTATAAGGCTGATGACAACAAGAACAACAAGGATGATGCTTCTTCTGCTACTGGCGGACGTGGTAGCAAAACAACCAATCGACGATGTTTTCATCTAGTTGGTTATTTCTCTAAAGAGAAGCGATCTGCACAAAAGTATAATTTAAGTTGTATCCTGGTCTTACCACCGTATCAAAAACAAGCCTATGGGAGATTTTTAATTGATTTCAGTAAGTTGTTTTTAACCGTCTGAACTTTTAATGTTTTTTTTTGTATGAAGTTTTTTCTGTAGTGTTTTAATGTGTATAACTTTATTACACATCTGATCATGGAGCTGATATCAGTTAGAGAATCATTGGAAAATCTGGGAGTACTGGACAGGTGTTTCGTCAGCCTAGTTTGGGGCTTTTCAGCAGTACGCACCCATCGCCATTCGAATGCAAGACCTCCCGGTCGCGAAGTGAGCTTGTAGATTATTAAGGTCCTGGGATCCCTCTTACCGATTCATTCATTCTTCACTTTGTTATCCATTTTTACTTTCTTGCTGGGAAATTCAGGATTTATCACGAATTTGTAGAAGTTGGAAGAAAAATTCATGGGTCATTGGATCCATTCCCAGTGGTTGCACATGGTTGACGGGCCATGGCTTTGTAACCTGAAGGTATTGAGTCGATCTGTGGCCATGGTACTACTACTGCTGCTGCTGAAGAGTCGCAAACTGAAACGAAACGCAGCTGTCCAGTACACCTTGGTTTTCGCTGACTGATGTTAATTAGTAGTCAGAATTGATATCAATCAACTCCTTACAAGCTAACTCTGGTTGTTATTCTGATGCCTGATAGTGACTGGCTACAAGCCTACAAGTTGCCTAGAGTTCTCCTGTGATAAGTTGTGATCCCATCAGTGAGGGACATCATCAGGTCGGGTGTGAGGACTGTTACTCTCCATTGATTAACCAACTGACATCTGCCGTATCCATGTATCTCGCGAATCGGTAGAAGTTTGAGTTCATGGGCCACTGGATTTTGACTCAAGTGACTGATGATCAGTGGTCAGCAAGTTTTTCCTCGTAACCTGAAGGAAGGTCCAGGGTTCAACCCCTATTGGGATCGTGTGTACGTGCTGTTGAAGTTGTCACAGACATAGTTGTCCAGTACTGCCTGGTTTTCAATGGCTAACTAAACGATGTTAGTTCCTGGTCAAACTTGAAATAACTTCAACAGTTGTTTATATTATGTATCTGAAGAGTTGATGAATTCTACACTGCGATTTGTTGTGCATCGATTTTATTTATATGCTACACGCTAGTTATATATTTGGAAATTGCTCTGTCAGTGGGTGTATGAATGGATAGGTATTTCTTTTGGACACAACTTTCTCCATAGAATACTATTCACAGTGAGGAATGAAACAAGTACATTAGCTGAATGAATAGCTGCTTAAATCATGTCTCTTTTTTGTTTCTCACGAATAAGTAATTCTTTGACTCGTTGGTTGAATCGCTCACATGATGATGAACCGCCTACCCGTTTTGTAGGGATTCTGTTTGATTAGTTAGAGGATTTCATCATAAGCTGACATTCGGTACAGTACCTGTGGAAATCCAGCACTGAAGTACTGGACAGTTTTTTTTGTCACTTCATTTTGGAAGTCTTCATCAGTACACACCCACAACTAGTGTGGGGGGGGGTGTGGTCGGACGCACGACCTTGTGGTTGGTTGGTTACAAGGCTAGCGAGCTCGTAGACTACTAAGTCACTGGAACCGGATCCAATGGTCATTCCAGGAATTCTAACTTCTGTCGATTCACGATATAGCGCGACCACCTCACAATGAGCCTTCTTCAATGAGTTAACTAGTGTGTGTAGCTTGTAGCGTTCATTGTGAGCAAGTCGTCATTTATAGACAAATTATAGGCGAGTTAATTATCAGGTTTGTGTTAATCACACCTGTGTAGTTCTATACACTGTGTGTCTACATGCTGACAACTTACGATATATTAGTAAATGGGGGGGGGAGGGATTTTCCCACATCATTTAAAAAGTTTTAAAATAGAAAATTTTTGTTTTTTAGCAAATTTAAGATTTTGTGTTGAAAAAAAACAAACAAACTATTTTAAACGTGACGAGCACACAGTAAATTAATGCACTCATAAATTTTGGCGAATAAATTTTTAAAAATCTGATTCCTGTTCATAAATCATCCATTTATGTGTCAATATGTATATATGCACAAATGGTCTGTACATTGAGAATAGAGACATAGTGACGTATCAAATAGCTAAATAGTAGGATTTGATTACTTAATACTTGTATAAAATTATGTATGTATAGTTGTAAACTTCTTAGTAGAAATGAGATATAGTTCATTTGGTCTATCTCATAATGATTGTATTTGAGTTTAAAGTTGAGTCAGTTGGCGTTTGTCAGCTTCTGTCTCTGCCTGTCTGGATTCAACATAGAACTTCGCACTGAAGTGCAGCAGTTCGAGTTGCCACGTTCCAAATAGCACACAGAGGTAGACAAGAAGATGAGTGAAGAGAATCAATAGAGTTTGACAAGTATAAGAGTGAAACAGAATGGGTAATGGTAGAAAGGAATATGAAAGATTACAGAGACTGAATACATCTGGGCTGGCCATTGACAATGATTTTGAGCCATGTCACCTATTGTCTCCAGCCATTGATTCCTAGAGTCCCGAGGGCTCCAACCCGGAAGTCTGCATCTCCCTACCTGACTCAGTTTAACTGTCAAGGATTTCATGGATTGATGCCATGTTTTTGTTTGGCCACCACTTAATCTTTTCTAATCTGCACCTGTATCAGCTAGCAATGCCCGTCGGGGGAGGCGATGGTTAGGCATGCGCACCACGTGACCTAGCCATCTCAATCTATGTAACTCTGTAGCCTCGTCGATTGATTTTCCCTCTTTGCCCAACACTCTACGCCTAACGTCAACATTACTTACCTTATTATACCACCTAACGTGAGAAAGAGATCGTAGACATCTATGATCGAAAGCAGTCAACCTTTTCATGTCTTCAACTCGTATTGGCCATGTTTCAGAGCCATAGAGAAGGACGGAGCGAACTGGTGAGCGGTACACACGTCCCTTGGTTGATAGCCGAATGTCACGCCTACGCCAGAGATGGTGTAAGTCAGCGGAAGCAGCTCGAGCTTTTCGGATCCGTGCTGAGATTTCATCGCCAATCAGTCCGTTGGTGCTGATACAACTTCCCAAGTAGGTGAAGTGGTCAACATGTTCTATCACTTCACTCCCTATCACTAAGCTAGGAGTTGACGTAGTCCAGTCCTGTAGCAGCATCTTACATTTTGTAGGGGCGAATCGCATGTTAAACATACGAAGATTGCTTCTCAAGGTGTTCAGAAGATTCTGTATTTTGTCATCATCCTCCCCTAACAGGACTATGTCATCTGCATATTCTAAGTCCATAGGAGTATTCCCTGGTAACAAGTCGATTCCTAAGTCGTTACGTTGAGTTAGGATACTTCCATTAGCTTATCTATGATGAAGTTAAACAGAAATGGGGAAAGTGGGCATCCCTTTCTTTCCAGCGTTCAAGGCGTCTATCCTGAGAGCTAATTAAGGAGCCATTTTTCTCAGAAATATTCACACTTGGAGCTAATCCAATGAGATAGAACTTTCGGTGGTAGCCTACTCATTATTTTTTTACGGGTAAGGGGTCGGAAATGTAAAATTATGTGTTTTTGATGTAGGCTTTTTCTGTGAGCTGGATTGTTTATTTGTATATATTTATAAAAGACATTTCAGAAATCACTGCATGACTCTTCAAACCTTAGGGAATGGATGTCACACACAAACCAACAAAATCACTTCACTCAGCTGGCTGTATGTCATCCAAAAAGACTCAAAACAGTGAAAGAAGATAAAACCAACATCATCTACAAAATAAATTCCAACGACTGCGAAAAACACTGCATAGGCGAGAGTGTAGACGTCCCCTTCGTCTTCTTCGCATCCATGAACACAAACTAGCTGTGAAAAGACTTGATATGCACTCACTTATATCGCTGCATACAGACAACCACAGACATCAATTCGACTGGGACGAGGTTCAAATATTAGCCAGAGGAAACGCCAAGAATGCTAGGGAATTTTTAGAATCCTGGTATTCCATTGAATCGTCAATCAATAGACACATCGACATAGATGAAATCTACCAATCGATAAGAAGGAAACCTCACTCACAAAGGGTGAAAATTCAAGTCAAAGAAACAATCAGTGCCTACACAAGTAAACTAGACGGTGTGGAAACAGACAAAAACAACCAATCACATTCAAGCACACCCACCAGGAGAGATGATTAATAAACTCGTGGTGAAATCTAAAAGCTCACTTCAGCGAATTGAAGTATGCATTATTGAAGATGTTGCCTAGCAGGACAATGAAAGTCTCGCAAACAAACCATTCCGCTAGCTCAAAGAACACAACTAAGTTGAAATCATCCACCTCCATCATATTATGTCTTTAGTTTTAGTTGAGTCTGATCGTGTTAGCTGTTTTTGCCTAGGCGTGAAGGTTTGGCTTGCATATCGCAATGACCTCCAACGAGAGGTATATTGGTTAGAACGGATGCTCTTACCATAAAAGAAAGCTACTTTGTATTGCGGTTGGCCTGTAACCAGTTATCATCATAGTCTAAGTTGCCCACACTATGTTGGAGGGTTCTTCTTAGATGGGGAGGTCTTACTGTAGACGAATAATGGATATTCGTGGAAAATTAGAAAATCAAAACAAGTGATTCAGCGAAGTGAATCTTTTCAATGAATTTATTACCAAGCTGTACAATCGCGTATATATATATATATATAATATAGTAAATTGTCTTAGCAACAAAACGGACATTTGCAAAAATGTGTCATTAGAATTGTAGATCTTCTTAGATAACAAGATTACGTAATATGAAAAAGCGTTAATCGGAAAGAAACTGCAATAAGATTAAGTAATTGTTATCAACCAGAGTCTGTGTCAACTTTCTTTCTTCTTCATCAAGCGTGTCTTCAGTGCATATTCGTTGAATTCTACTGAAGAGGCCCCTTTTAGCAGATATTTATACGTCGAACATTGAGAATTTATCGGAGGATTTAATCGAAAATGTGCCACTTTATAGAAGGTATGTAGATGATGTTTTAATCATCAGTGATAAGTCTTCTTCTGCCATCTCAATTTTAAATCGAATGAAGGAAATTCAGAATAGCAGTATATCACTTACATCTGTAGAAGAGGAAGATAATTATTTATCTTTCCTAGACATATTGTTTAGTCGACGGCTTGATGGGTCAATAAAAAGATCTATTTATAGAAAACCTACCTGGAAAACACAGTATCGTAATTACCACAGTTTCTACCCGATACAAAAGAGCCTTAGTGAGCGAGGTGCCTCTTCAGTAGAATTCAACGAATATGCAATGAAGACACGCTTGATGAAGAAGAAAGAAAGTTGACACAGACTCTGATTGATAACAATTATCCAGACAAGATTAAATAAGTAAAATAAGTGACGTAATATAACTACTGACGGCATCGAGTAGAATTCAGTTAAAATTAAACGACAGTCAAGTTAACGACGGTGGTAATAGGAGGTAGAAATTCAATTTGGGGGGGGGGGGTGGGGAAGAAAATAATAGAATTAAGGTAGGTCAGGTCCATTGTAGATTTAATAACAGAACAAACTTCTTTTGTATGCAAAGTTCAGGATTAACTTGCTCAAGTTCAACTTTAATCGAATTCTACTCGATGCCGTCAGTAGTAGTTATATTACGTCACTCATTTTACTTATTTAATCTTATTTTAGTTTCTATCCGATTAACGCTTTTTCTTATTGCGTAATCTTGTAATCTAAGAAAATCTACAATTCTGATGACACACTTTTGGAAGTGTCCGTTTTTTGCTAAAACAATTTATTATATATGTGCCAATGTACAGCTTGATAATAGATTCGCTGAAAACGTGGTCTCTTTGCTGAATATGGATGTATCATTAGAAGGGTATTCATTGAGACGACTAGCAAGATAGCTTGGTTACAGAATTTTGTCATGAATTGACATCGGTTACAGAACCATTGGAAAACCTGGGGGTACTGGAAAGCTGTTTTGTCCTAGTCCAGGACTCTTCATCAGTATACCCTCACCGGGTTTGAACTTAGGATCTTCTGGTTACTAGTCTAGCGAGCTCGAAGACCATTAAAGCCATTGGGACCCGATCCACTTGACAACCCATGAGTGGCCAACTCATGACATAACGCTATCACTTCGTAATTTTTTCGATGAGTTACTGCCTCATCTTCAACCTGCTGTACCTTCCTGATCACAACTTCCTCTAGGAACCCTGGGTAACTACCTACCTAAATAGGCCAGTGGTTAGTGAGCATCTCATTTATTTTTGTCTGTTTCATACACTTCACCGTCTTATCGCCCTCAATTCACAGAGTTTTCGTATATCGCTGTAGACATCTGAATCTACGGTTAACAGAAGTCGCCTCATAATCCTTGTTTTATCCTACCTGTAATAAATTAATTGATTACCTATTGCCCAATTTCTTTTATTTCACTTCTTTATAGGTTTTTTATTATCGCGTATTGAAGGACAACCTGGTTCACCTGAGAAACCATTATCTCAACTAGGCAGTCTTTCTTATCAATCCTATTGGCGGTCTAAGTCCTACCGTTTCTTTATGCTCAATGAAAGATTGTAAACTAGCTGGCAAATCTAATCTTCCCAATGGTGGTGGACGAGATACAGACTGTCTGTCGAATTCATTCGGTTCAATTGGCTTTCGAGATTTTGTTATCACTATTCATGAGATTAGTTCAACGACAGGGATAGATCCACATGATGTTGCTAGTACTATTCAACAGTTGGCTACAACTATTACATTGAATTCAGAAGGAAGGTAAGCTGTGCGGGTGTGTGTGTGCTTGTTCTTCCATGAAACCAGAGGCAGAAAAATGTTAAAGACACGGGAAATACTTTAATGAACGGAATATTCCCATACTGAGTCATTAGAAAAAGAAAGCGTAAACAACGAATAAAGTTTTGCTTTTTGAGGAATGATTTTCACAAGTTGTACAATAGTAATTATCTTTAACAAAGATATCATAAAACGACTATACTGGCAAATTTGTTCTGGAGAACGTATTACACAATGAAAGGTGTAATCTGGAATGGGATGACTAATTGGAGATGAGAAACAGGGCGCAGAAGTTGGGATGACGTAATAAGTGTAGGACAATAACTAATCAACTAATTGTGTAAAGTAAGGATGATGAAAATAACAGTAATAATATTAAGCTTATATGAACGTTACTCTGGGTACGGAAGGGTGAATGGAATTTATGTGTAGTGCTTTTGAACTCAGTGGTCCTGTTTCAGATCCCGAATAGCCAATGTTGTACTCGGAATCCTTTCTTGCGATATTAAGGAACTCTGTGTAATATTGTGAAACATTACGTTCATGGCGGGGGGGGGATACTCGATGCTCGGAGTTGATAAGGTGTTCGAGGATGCAGCTGCTGGTATTCTTCTTTTCCCGTCTGGCTAAGCAGACTATGCAATCTTCTAGAATACGTTTGCGGATTTGATATTATGTACGGGCAATATACTTTGCTCCACCACCAAAGGCGGTATCTCATACCTAACGTTTGACTGGATTTAACTGTCTGTTGGAGAATGTGATGCATGAGGTGACTGCTTAAAATGTCTTCTTCAGATATTTAGAAAGTTGGTTTCTAAGAATGCAATACATGGAAATAAACATTAAAAAAATTAAGTGGACCATAGGTATTGTGGAGGTATTGTGATCTGAATGCAAATATGACGTATTCCACTGTGATATTATTATTATTATCGTGATTCCCTTAGGTTCCGGGTGGAACGTATGTCTTCAATAGCACGTCTCTATTTTATCCTTTTTTTGTCTTGAGGTGGTCCCACACTTGATGGTGAGCTATTATCTACTCAAACTATCCCCTCCATGTTGCCGTTGCACCCATACCCAGCTTTTCTTTTCCCATTCGGTTTCCACAGCTATTATCGTTAGTGTAGGAAGTCTACTTCTGTAGTATGTATGTTGTCAACGCATGAATGCGTCATAAGGCGCATTCACAGTGATTTTATCAATCTTCAACTTTACGACAACTTATTTAACACAACACATATTCATCGTCTGACTTCCTCTCTTCTTATAAGGTGGAATCCAGTTCTAAAGCAGCAGTATACATTTGGAAGGTGATAAAGATATCTCCAATATTTCCTAAATCGTCACTGTTTATTCTGTAGATTGGTTGATGAGATCTTCGCTACTTCTTCGCTATGTAGACTTCCCACGAGGCTATTGTTTGTAAACTCAACTGAGGAGGTACATATGCAAATACTTACCGCATTGGTTATTGTAGGCTATAACATCACCACCGGTGTTATATATAATGTAGGGTTGTTGTGTTGTATTCCACCGGATGTGAATACGAATGCTAACTGATGATATACAAATGCTTGATAATTTTCTGGTCAACTATGCTCTGACCCGAACTAGTAAACTTCAGAAAATTCACGCAGTGAATAGCCTTGGAAATGTGGATTTCCAAGAGAGAAGTCAGAGAGAAAGTGACCAAGAGTACATAAATATATGGCATATATATATATATATATATATATATATATATATGTCTGACTTCTCACAAACTGGAAGATATGCAAATGAAAAGCAACAAGTTGGTGATGGAAGAAGCATCAAAGATAGGAATTCAAGTGAACATAGAGAAAACGGAGGTGATGAAGATTACTGGCCAACAGCAACAACAACAGACAACAGTCAGCATAGATGGGAGGAACCTGAAAGAAACAACCTCCTTTACCTACCTACCTGGGAAGCATCGTTTCAACTATAGGCGAACGGAGGGAGGATCGGGAAGGCAAGACAAGCTTTCATTACTCTCATCAAGTCTGTGTGAAGGTCAACAGCCCCACTCAGAATCAAAAATGAGATCCGGATTTTCAACTCCAATGTTGAAGTCAGTCAGTGCTACTCACTATACGCATCAGAGACTTGGCGCTTCATGTAGAGCACTTCAAACAAACTACAGTCCTTCATTAACAGCTGTCTTCGCTCAATACCACTCAAGATCAGATGGCCGGCCAGAAAAGATCATCAACAGGGATCACTTGCAAAGATTGAACCAACCAGGAACTGATTGTGAAAAAAATAGGCAGGAAGAAATGGAGTTAGGTTGATTAGCCATACTCTGAGAAAACAAACCATCAAGTGACATCACTAGACAAGCCATTGCTCAAGTGGAACCCGAAAGGGAAGCGGAGAGTTGGTTGTCCAGGGGTGACTTGGAGGAGGTCATGTGAAGAGGAGATAAAAGCATGTGGGCAGACTTGAAACCATGTGAAAACTCTAGCAGAGAACCGAACGCAATGGAGACGCGCGGCTGAACCCTATGTTCCTGTAGGAATAAAGGAAATTATATACAATAGGAGGCGTTAACTGCTTGCTGGATCGTGATTGGTTAACACACATCATCATACTATAAGGCATGTGATGTGCTTTTATCTGGCTAATGGATTAGACTAATGCGATAGGCTGTGGACAAATCAGGCAGACTGACAGGCCAATTGGATAAGTAGTGGCGGGGGGGGGTTGTACATTTCAACGGCTACTATTATTTTTTGTATATATAATTCAATGCTTTTTGTGAGTGCATTTCATTTGTTTCGCTTATTTTTTGTATTCATTTTTCTGCATAGACCCTTAATATGTTTCGATTTGACGTATTTACTGCAACTACAAGAAAAGTATGAAAAACGTTCAGTTAACTGGATTCCAATCGATGAAGAATGTCTTCGATGGTCACCTTTAATTCATCCTCAAGTAGGTGATTTTGTGTTTTGGTCATCCCATTATATGTATCCTTCAACATCTTTTGTTTATTTTTCGTAATTTACTTCTCCTATTCACCGCCTTCTTAGAATTACTGAAACAACCTTCTTGTTGATTTGTAGTCAGTACTCTTATTTACCAGGCTTTTGTTTTTATTTAGCCTAGTTGCTCTCCAGATCAGAAGCCAATCATTGTTTTCGATCATTTGACTGCATTGTCAGGACTTGATTATCTTAGTGTCTCCTTAGTATGACACCTATTATTATTATTGCTCCCTAGGGTTCCTAGTGGAACATAGGGCTTCAACTGCATGTCTCCATTTTCTTCTGTCTTCTGCTGTACTTTTCGCCTGCATCCATGTTAATCCATATTCTTTCAACTCCTCTTCACACGATCTGCTCCATGTCACCCTTGGACGTCCCACACGCCGCTTCCCTTTCGGGTTCCACTCGAGGGCTTGGCGCGCGATGTCACCCAGCGTCTCCTCAGCGAGTATCCGATCCATCTCCACTTTCTCCTGCATATTTGTTGGGCGATTGGTTCTTGCTTTGTTTGTTCCCATAATTCCTTGTTGGTGATTCTTTCCGGCCATCTGATCTTCAGTATAGAGCGAAGACAGTTGTTAATAAAGGTCTGCAGCCTTTTGGAAATATGACACCTATCTCAGTCAAATTGGCAATTTTTAATTTACTCATCACAAATCCCTTCGATAGCCTGGCTGACAAAACACTACTGATTCCTGTGAGTGGTATGGAACTACTACTCCTTTCAATGAATCAGTAGCAGATATTGTGATGCATTCACAGTCTTGACCGATAGCTGCTACCTTGACGTGGTGGTCGGGCTAGTACATTGCGATGACCCAACAGGCTACAGTGGCTGGAAGCAATGCTCCTGCAGGTCCTACCATGCCAGGAAGGTTGTTAGGATAGCGATTAGATTAAAAGTAGTTACTGGCATTGTGTAGGAATCTTTCTTACACTGTGCTGGGGGTCTGAGGGCTAAGTCTTACTGCTGGGGAACAGGGATGTAACAGCAGTAAGATGTTTCCCTCAGATGACCAGCATGCCAAACAGCTATGCTCTCTCTTCACTCTGGAGAGAGGGGGTTAGAAAAGGTCGACCACAAAAATTGTACATCCCGACTTACCGTAGGGTGGTCCGTAACCGGCGATAAGTGTACTAATACGCCAACAAACAAAAAAACCAGTTCATACAGACCGTCTGTGACTGGCCTCAAGCAGTTGTCCTCTGGGCTCTGTGGTCACGCAACACTAACCCGAAAAATCAATCGACTTCCATGGTGTGGGCGGCCGGGAAGTAACAACCACCCACACTTTTCCATAAACTGCGACAATAAATTATTGGCACCAACCCAGTGAAACTATTTCAGATTCCTACGCATTACCGAATACCTAAGTTAATTTATACAATGTTTTGTTACCAACGTCCTTAAACACTTCCAGAGTCGTATCATTAGGTCTCGCTACTCTCTGCTTGGTAAAATTATAAGTTGAGTAGGTTACTTTGTATGCTCATAAGCAAGAATGTGTAATCCGTTACATACGGTGCCCACTATTACTTAGATTTACACCTATTCCGGGGAGAGGGGGAGGGCAGAATAGACATTTAGTGACAGCTTAGAGAATCGAATCAGTTCAGGCCACCTGAATTCCCGTTAGCCCCTTTTGGAAGAACTGATTGATAGATAATACACTGAATGTGAAGTCTGATATTTGGAATTTCCCCCATGCAAGGTGAAATTTCACCGTAGTTCCTTTTCTTACAGGATTTCATCATGAGCTGACATCCGTTAGAGAAACTGTTGGAAAACCTGTCAGCGAGTACTAGGCAGGTGTGTTTCGTCATAATTTGCGACTCTTCATCAGTACTCACCAGCAGGATATCTATCAAATTATTCTTATATCTGCTTCATTTTCTTTGTCCACCCGTTATATTTCGTGTTTTGTTTCTTTGTGTCTAGGAATTTGATGTTTCTGGAGACAGTACTGGTGGCGGGTGTGATAATTCTGACAATGCTCAAACAACAACTCATGACAATCTATCAACTTCACCAACTGTTCTAAAAAGAAGTCAACACCTACGATCTCCTCAGCCTAGAACATCACACACTGATGATGCTAGTGTTTCTGTAAACAACAACCATCACCATCATCATCTACAGCAGAATGATAATTCAACCGCCTCAGAAATCCCGCGTAAACGTAGTCTACGCAGTAGTAGTGGTACTAGTGGTAACAGTAATAATGCCTTTCAAAGTATCTCAATAGTTAACAGTGATAATTCCAATCATTGTAATAATACATATAATTCAGAAGGCGGAATCATCGATACAACGTATAGACGTCGTCTTCGTTCACCGGCTAGTTCAACGCATTCATCATTTCTTAATAGCAATGAATATCTCTCACCTGGTACTGGATCCGATTTTGTTTTCGCTAATCAAAGAACACTATTGAACAGTAGACGACAAACAGATTCTGTAGTTAGCATCACCACCAACACCACAACAACAGTGAACAATACTCATTCTTCTAATGCTGCTACTACTACCACCACCACTAATTTTAACTTTACTAACTCTTCTTCTAATGGTATGAATAAAAATAAGCGCGTGTCTAATAATAATAATAATACCTCACGGAAAAAAGATTCTAAGCTGAAACCGTATCCTTCGCCTTGTCGTAAACGAAGCTTCTGTTCAGATGGTCCACGACCTCCAGATCCACCATCTTCACCTGGTCAGTGCTCATTTTTGAAAAAAATTGATTGTTGTTGTACATTGTTCATTTGTTCAGATTCGCTTTCCTCTTTTCCCTATCTTTTTCATTTGAAGGAAAGAAGAACTTTTGAAAGAAATAGTCTTTTTTGCTTGGCTTTCACATATTTTCTAACCCGGTTTACCTAGCAACTGAACTAACTAACTAACTGAATGCATCAGTTCAAGCAGCCACACTTTCTCTGTGTAGCATACAAAGGCAGACAGAATGGAAAAAGAGAGAGAGAGAAAATAATTTTCAAAAAACCACATAATATGCAGAAATGAACGTGAGAAAGAATAATAACGGGGGAAAATATATGGGTTTAATAATAATAGATATTGGGGGGGGGTCCGAAAGAGTCAGTGCGTTTTCGTCATCGAGACTAATAATTTGAGTCATATCACCGATATTCTATCCATCCACTTACTGGTTCTTAGGATATCAACCTGACAGTTTATATCTCTTTTGAATTTCGCTGGCTCGTAGCAACAGTCAAAGACTTCATGGACGCGACGGATTGATGACATGTTGTTTCAGTTTGATCAACTTCCAACAAACTCTTTGTCAACCTAATCCAATATCTGTCTCCAGTTTGATCACGAGTTGATATCACTTAGAGAACCATTGAAAACCTCAGCTGGGGGAGTATTGGATGACCGTTTCGCGACTCTTCGGAAGTACGCATCCACCTGCCAGGATTCGAAGCCAAGACTTTTTGGTTACAAGTTAAGCTTGTAGACTGTTCAACCACTGGGACCCGATTCAATGGCTCTGAAGTTCCAGGGGGGTGGTGGGAATGAAGAGAAATAATCGCCGATCACATTGGCTGGGCGGTCGTACCAAAATTACGAAATGGTAGAAGTTAGAAATCATGGACTGGTCATTGTCTTGGGTCGCAGTGGTTGAATGGTCTACTAGCTTGTCTTGTAAGCTTGAAGGCCCTGGGTTCGAAACCTGGTAGAGGTAGTTAAGTGGGTGCCTACTTCCGGTGAATCCCAAACACAGACCGAAATGGCTGTTCAGTACTCCCAGCTGTGGTTCTCTAACTGATATTAATCTGTGATCAAAATTGAGACAAATGAAATCCCTACAAACAAATTTTTGGCTGGTGCAACATGTGTCTTCGGTTCATCTAGTAATTCACTTTTCAGTGAGTAGATTGGGAGAAAGAAATTATGCGGGAAATCGAAAATAGGTGTGAAATACTTCGATTAGTAATAGGAACAAATGCGTGAAACGGCATTAAGTTCTGTGAAACTAACCAGTAGTCATTTCATTGATATAGATGATGAATAGATCTCATGGTTTTACTCTCGACTCACAACTACTCAAACTTATTTTCTTCATTTAGCTTCAAGTATTAGAGTTTCAGTAGGGATAGTGAGTGTTGCTTTTTCCCAGGGTAGGTTCGTTATATCAACTGTCTGTCTTTTTCCGGCTTACTGACGATTAGTAAGCCCGGCAGGGGTTTTGGAGTGTGGCAACCGAGAGTTTCAAACCCGGGATTCCCTTCTGCTTGGCAAGCATTATTTATCTGGTGGTGTGATACTGTGGTTAAATTAGTATAAGCCTCCGAATTTTAACTATCGGACCACGGTTTGAATCCCTGCTTCTGCTCTATCTGCAGTAGTTTTGGACAGTCAGTAGGTAGTTCTTTCAGTGCTGGCATAATAAGCATAGAATTGAGTAACAGTCTTATCTTTTGATCTATTTGTAATCCCCGTATTATAGCACGCTGCCTCTTCAAATTTCAATGCACGCTACGTATTTGAGCTGAGTACAAATATTTAAATGTGTATTTCAATGCAGAGACAAATCATTAGATACCAAGGAGCACTAGACAGTTGTTTTTCATCTTAACTAACGGCTCTTCATCTGCAGACACACGCCAATGATGACAATGTAGATCGAACTCGGGACCTTTAGGGGTTACAAAAGATTAAACTTGTTGACTATTCAGCTGCTTCGGTGAGAATTCGACCAGCTTGTTCTCTTGTAGCTTGATGATGGCAATTTCGATCCATGTTGCTGCTGTGTGGGTGTACAATGTTGTATAAAGTTTTTAAAGAAACTGACTTTATTAACTAATTAACTGGTAATATATTTTGATACACAATGGACGGCTAAACATTTTTTGTTCTATACATTACAATGATGATTGAATGTTGGAATCTAAATCTAAAGATCCAGATTTTCAATTACAATGTGAAGTAAGTCAGTGCTACTATACGGATCAGAGACTTGCACTGCGCGTCATAAACAGTATCTTAAACAAACTTCAGACCTTCATCAACAGTTCTCTTCGCTCACGATCAGGTGGCCAGAAAAGATCAGCAACAGGGATCTCTGGGAATGAGCGAACCACCCTAGCAGGAACCGATTGTGAAACAAATAGGCAGGAAGAAATGGAGATGGATTGGCCATATTCTGAAGAAACCATCAAGTGACATCACTAGACAAGCCATCGCTCGAGTGGAACCCGAAAGGAAAGCGGCGAGTTGATCGTCGATGCAAGGGTGACTTGGAGGAGGTCATGTGATGAGGAGATGAAAGTATGTGGGCAGACTTGGAGCGAAGTGAAAAAGTTAGGAATAAAACGAAGGCAATGGAGATGCGCAGCTGAAGCTCTATGTTCCTCTAGGAATTAAAGGATATAATAATAATAATAATAAATGTTTTTTGGTTGACTAGAGGATTTTCTTAGGAATTACTACATACATGTCAGAATTTGCCTTCTTGAAAAAAACAACCTTTATTTATTATCATCATTGTTCTTGTGTTTTTGTTTACTATCCGTACCTATAGAAGGAGGAGGTGGTCGATTTGCATCGTCGTCATCGAATACAGCCAACAATACTATCGCTACTAGAACACGTCGTTTCTCGTATAATGCAGCACCACCACAACGTTCTTGCACAACACGAAGTTCTAGTGGTGGCGGTGGTACAACAAAACAGAATGGTTTATTCTCTATATTTATGAATAGTTGTGGTGATGATTTTTCAGATGAAATGTCCACGAGTAGTAGTAGTAGTAGTTCAGAGACAACGGAGGCCACAACCAGTACTACTACTACTACAACGACAACATATGCTAGGCATATTAACTCATTGAGAAATATGTTAACACCTCCATATTATACTGAAGCGATGATGACATCATCAGTCGATAGACAGCATTTTATGCTTGAATCAGAATGTTTAGAAATCTCTCCACTTCGTCCATCATTTTCTAGTTCACCGACAATTCTACCAATTAAAGATGACGAGGAAGAGGATGAGAATTCAGGGAGTTGTCAACAGAATGAAATGCTGAATAGGCATAATCAAGTAAGTGAGAAGTATTTTTTTGATTTTTAATAGTTATTGAACTAAGTTATGTTTTTTTTGAAGGTGTCGTAGGATTTTAACTGACAGTCAATGGCTTAAGCATTTTGATGACCTATAGTCAGTTGGGTTAGGTTCTTGATTCAAGTATGGCTCTCCTTCTCTCTCTCTCTCTGGCTACTTAAAGCCAGTGAAATTGTGTGATTTCATCAGCTGGCACAGAATAATTGTTTATGAGACACTTGTCCAGGGTATCTGACAGTTTATTGATACACCTCGTTGTAGAAAGGTTGATTTTTAAGAGTATTGATAGATGTATGCGGTGATTTTGTGTGTTTTGTCATCCCGTACACAGTTTTTAAAGTTGATGGCTGTTTTGATTTCGTGTTTGAGATGGTTTAAAGAGTGTTTGGAAGTGATGTACACTCGCCGATGACATTGATCGACACCACTTGCGCTAAAATCACGAATTGGTAGAAGTTAGAATTCATAGACTGGTCACTGAGTTTAGTCCCAGTGGTTAAATGGCCTACAAGCTTGACTTGTAAGTGGATGGCACGTGAGTTAGAACGCCGTCTGGCAGGTGGGTCTCAAGTTGGGACGAAACAGCTTTTCAGTACTTCCTAGTTGGTTTTCAATGATTCTCTAACTGATATTTTAATTTTTGATTACAGCTTGATTCCACACAGTACTTTTTGGTAGAAGTATGGAATTTTCAGCATGTAATATCGGTAGCCCAAATTTTGCAGGCTGACCATAGATATCTGGTGTGCGTTGGCAGGGGATCGAACCCCGGAGCATGTGCATGGTCGGCGAGAGTCCTAACCACTGTGCCAGCGACGCTCGATATCGTTTCATGGTCAAACTTTATACCAGAAGTGTTTTAGGAAAATATCCCCGCCACCCTTTTTATTTTCGCTTCTAAATATCTTATCAGCATGCAAAATGTGTTTGACATTGATTTTTTAGTGGATATCTATCAGAGAAACGAAAGGTGTAATCTTATATGACTTGTACTAATCAAACATTCTTTAGGTGGCAGTAAATTGTGGTCATTTATGCATATTTTTTGAATAAATTCAAGCCGTTACCGCCTGGTTAATTTCGACAAATTAAAATTGCATCTGCTTCGGACGTGTCACTTATTATTTCATTTCTTTGCAATCCTCCTAGAACATTTGGCTTCAGTCTAGAGCTTTCGAAATTTCATTAGCAGTTGCTACCCCTCACGCTTCCCCACCCCAACCTGTTCCCTCTTTACAGGATGTAACTGGCGGCCAAGTGAAGTGAGGGAGTGAATGAGCTAGCCGAGGATTGAATCCCCCGAACCACTTGCACAATTGGGGTCAGTGTTCTGTCATTGAACTACTGACTTACTTGCCGATTACTGTTATGTACTCGTCGCCAAATTATTGTTATGTACTGGTCGAGAATTTAATAGTCCTGACGCAATAAAGACTGAAATCAGAAGACCACTAGGGTTGCGATGATACTTCTATTTTCCAAAACACCAGGAGAATCAATTCACACAAGAGTGTGCGAGCAAAAATATATATGAATGTCCGAACAAGTGTATGAACAATCAATAGACAGTCTTAACATGATTGGTTAATTATAATGGAGTATCGATCCATATATACATAGTAAAATATAGCAGACATGTCAACAAACACACATATTATATATACTATAAGGGGAATATACATGTTTAAAGGAGACAGGTTCATCAAAGTGAAATGGTCACAGACTAAGAGAGCAACAGAAAGAGGGACCACCATATATATATATATATATGAATTACCCCCATTACTTTTAGTTTAAAATTGTGTGAATTACTTCCGCCACATGCTTGGCATTATGGAAAAGATTCAAAGTTTAGCTGAATGGTTTTCAGTGGTGATGGTGGTGATGATGATTGGTAGTTCTCTTCCCTGATGACTTCAGTGCTGTGTGATTGATTGCCTCGGAAAGTTGTTTCTTTAGAAATCATTTCTTATATATTCACCTTCATCGGTATTGATTGTCTCACTCTCTGACCTGACATTTAACTTACGCTTTATTGATTGATAAATTTAATCTGTGTTGTCATATATTTGTCAATAACACATCGGTCTGAGTCTGTCTGTTTTTGACATAGAATCTTGCATCGATGTGCGGCAGTTCAAATCGCCACACTCCATGTAGTACACAAAACAAGAGAAGAAAGTGGAAGAAATGCATAATGGAGACAGTAAACAGAGGTGTGAGACAAAGGAATAGTAGTAACGAAGAACCAAACAGTTTCATTGAAAATCATAAGTCACAAGGAGTGGACGCATCTGCACTAGCCATTGAGAACGATGAGTTTGAGTCATTGGTTTTACCGTCTCGAGGACCCCAACCAGTCAGGAAGTTTACACCTCCCTACGTGGCTTAAACTAACTGTTGTAGATTTCATTGACTGGTGAAGCCATGTTTTGGTTTAACCATCGCTAGCTCTTTTCCAGCCTGACCCATCCAATGTTAGCTAACATTGCCCATTGTCGAGGAAGGCGACGGATGTCTAGGCATACGTAACACATGTCCCAACCATCTCAGTCGATGTAATTTCACAGCCTCGTCGATTGATTTCCCCTCCAACTCACCCAGCACTCGACCGAAGCCAAACCTCAATATTGCTCACCTTATTATACCACTTCACACGGGAGATAGATAGAGTGCAGGCATCTATGATCGAAGACAGCTAATCTTTTCATGTCTTTTCCTCTCAATGGCCAGGTCTCACAGCCATAAAGGTGGGTGGAGCGAACTGATGAGCAATACACACTCCCGGATATCACGTCTACACCAGAGATGATGGCGTAAACTGGCTTGAATGCTAAACTTTCAGGAATCTTCTGTAATAATTCAGTTTTCCTCTACTTAAAATTCTTACATTTTTTCCACTGAAATTGTAATCTGTATTTATAAGGGGGGATTTGCCTTGTGACAGTGTTAGTTTGTATTTATCGAATGCCAAGATAAACTATTGGAAGTAGTCCCCTTTGGCATTTCTTTTTTTCTTGAAAGTCTTCAAGACTAGTTGTAACTCTCACATTTACTTCGACAATAAGTTGTGCAGTTTTTGAGGTGAAGCCTGATCAAGACTCCCTCTTTTAATACTCTAAATATTCGAAATACCTAATAGCTATTCTATTGTGGTGAGAGCAGGCTGCTAGCCGATTGGTTGGCACTAATCTACGTTAAGGTCTGGTCACTATATGGGCCGTGAGAAAATATGAACAAGCCTGAGTCAACAACCAATCACAGCAAAGTTAACGTGGCAAATATGATTCGCAGAGAGAACTCTATTTGTCAAGAATCCCGAAACAACCAATCAGAAGCCTGCGTTTGTCTACCTAAACAACCAATCAGATGACTGCGCTTGTCTATAATAATTAGTTGAAAGATGTATAAATACGTGTTGATTTTCATAATAAAACGATCTGTTGCCTGGCCCTTGTCTTCTGTTGTTACATTTGGTGTCGCTGCCTACCGACAAATGAAAAGCCTATACCCTGCAGTTTTTGATGGAGACATATGGATCTTCGGGCAGGACTTCAAGGCTTCTGCGCAGTTGAGTGGCGTTCAAGATCTGTCAGCGATGGAGCTGCTACTTGAGACGCTGCTGGGAGGTCGGGTGAAAGCAGCATATGAAAGTGTGAGCCGAAGTATGGACGAATGTTCGACAGGGTCAGGCAAACAGTTTCCAAAGTGGGAAGGACCATATATGGTCACTTCGAGATGGGGTTACGCAGACACAGTCGCAATGGCGAACAATGAGAGGCGCGTGAACGTCAGCGAGCTTCAGAAATGGATACAGCGAGACAAGCCAACGATGACGCCTGCACCAAGTAGATCAAGCCGACTTCAGTCGCACGTATTTGACGGGGGGACGAGTGTGGTGAGAGCAGGCTGCTAGCCGATTGGTTGGCACTAATCTACGTTAAGGTCTAGGTCACTAATATGGGCCGTGAGAAAATATGAACAAGCCTGAGTCAACAACCAATCACAGCAAAGTTAACGTGGCAGAATATGATTCGCAGAGAGAACTCTATTTGTCAAGGAATCCCGAAACAACCAATCAGAAGCCTGCGTTTGTCTACCTAAACAACCAATCAGATGACTGCGCTTGTCTATAATAATGTAGTTGAAAGATGTATAAATACGTGTTGATTTTCATAATAAAACGATCTGTTGCCTGGCCCTTGTCTTCTGTTGTTACACTATGTGTTGTTATTAGTTTGTTAAAACAGCCAACAGTAATTGAGACTTCTTTGAATGGCCTCAACTCAAAGAGAGAGAGAGGGCTCAGGTTATTGTAGTTAGTCGAACTCACGATTCAAATTATTGATTTATGTGTTATACTTTGCATGCCTTTGCATCGCGAGTGGAACTTAGAAGGCTTTGAAGTCGTCTTAGTAGCGCTGATGTTATTTTTGTTTCACAAAAGGTGGGGGGGTGTTGGTTGGGTTAAAAGCTAGCTTCACATCCAACTTTCCCTCTTTTCTAGGCTTCCTGTTTACCGGTATTAGGCTAAAGCCAGATTTGATTGATTAGTGTCAATGTAGAATTTTGTACAGATGTGCAGCAGTTTGAGTTGCCACATTTCATGTAGAGAACACAAAGCAAAAGAAGAGAGTAAAGAGATATGCTAAAGTCAGATAGTAAACAGAAGTGTGAGATCAAGAAAAAAGGAAAAGTAATATAGAAGAACAATAAAATAATTTTATTGGATATGACTGATAAATCACAAAGAGTGAATGCATCTGCGCTAGCCATTATTGCCCATTGTCTTCAGACATTGATTTTTACCATTCTGAGGATCCCAACCAGTAGTCAGGAAGTCTACACCTCCCTACATGGCTGGCTGGCGTAAACTAACTGTTGTGGATTTATTTCATTGACTGATCCCATTAAGTCTTCTCCAACCTAATCTTATATCAGCTAACATTACCTGTTGAGGAAGGCTGTGGCGGCAATGTTTTCGTAATACATTTCTTAACCATCTCGATCGGTATAACTTCACAATCTCGTCGATAGATTTAGGAGTATATCGACTGGGAATCGAACCCAGGACATGTGCTTATCTGACCAGCATCCTACAACTGAACCTCCGGCGTGACGAGATTCAATATACGAGACCGTTTATTAAACTACCGTTTCTGCTGGTTCTTTGAAAATTCCTAAAATGAAATGATATTGATGTCATTGTTTTCCAGTCGCAGAATAACTTCTAGTAATTTGGTGGACAGTGATTGGCACTGGAATCCAGTTTGAGCGTTTCGTCCCATATGGGGCTCTTCAGCTGCTGATTTTACCTGCATTCATCGGTGAGTGAGTGATGGTGTCCTCACTGAGGCTGGAATTCAGTATCCATAGTTTCAAACGAGAAAGCGTTATCCGATAGACTGCTTGGACCACGAGAGCCTCCTTCTTGTTCATCGGTTGTCACTTAATATTGAATTTTGATTTGTCCGTTGGTTGAGCGGATAACGTCTTGGCTTAAGAACACGTACCACTCACTCACTCATCCCGGACTACGGGTACATCCAGCAGATGACGAGTCCTAAATAAGACGAAATATGCATTCTGGATTCCACAGTTAGTCAACATCCACTGAATTACTTCAAATTAGTCCTCATACATCTTTAACCTTTCGCACAAACATTCGATATGTCAATCTGAGGTCGAACATTTCGATCCAATCAATCGATAGGAAAATCAAAAATTGAATTAAACACAAATCATAACTTATCTTTTTTATGTTCCAGATAACTAATTTTTAAACAATTTTTATTCATTGCTTCCTATTGTTTAGAAACAATCTGTTATCACTGATGGTGGCGGTGATAGGATATCCCTCAATGCCTCATCAATACACACACCCTCACCGCCAATGTTATCATTAGCTGATGGGATATCAACTGTTGTTGACACTGAAATGCCATCATCATTAAATGATGTAACCATTGGCGGAAATGGCACCAGTAATAATAATAATAAAAACTAACAACAAACATCAGCACGACAACAACAACAACAACAGTTTTTCATCCCTATCAAAATCACGAAATTCTCTTGCCAGTGAAACAAACAATATCCCACCTCCATCTTTATCATTTTATGATAGTGGGCCGACTGTGAATCATCAATCAAAGTCTACTTCTCCTTCTCATGATTCTTCCACCTCCCATCAGTCATCTCCTTCACAGTCAACATCATCGAGTGCAACAACTAAAGCTGTTGATACATCTTTAACGAGGAATAATAAATTATTACAGCACTGTACAGCTAAACGTCTTTTTAATGATTCTGAATACTGCATTTCACAAGATGTTAAATCGCATTTAAAAGTCCCCTTGTATATTGATACTACGAATCTGAATGATTATGAAGATGATACTGATAGTGAGTTGATGTCTAGTCAAAGTCGACAGTCCGTCGCCGCCTCCATCACCTCCTCTTCCTCCGCCTCGTCGTCATCATCGTCATCTTCTTGTACTAAAAAACACCAACAACACTATCGACAGCAACGACATGGTGGAAATTTTTTCATCCAAGAAAAATCATATAATTTCACTAAAACTGTATGCTCTGATGATACTGTCACACATTCTTCATTGGTTGGTATTCTCTCCAGCGATATGTGTTCCTTACCAGTGTCACATAATAAGGGACCTATCACAAATATCATTTTCATCGAGAAAATAATCCTCGATCGTCATCCTACCGTTCATGGCCATCATCTCCGGTTCAGTTAAGTGCTGCTACAGCAGCATGTAAATCTGCTCCGGCAAGATTTGTTTTTTCAAATCAATCCAATTCATTTGATAATTCCACGTCATTCACCTCATCTTTATCATCTTCACCACCCTTACTTTGTCGTGCTGTAAACCACCATTGTACTCCAATCACAGCTCCATCATTGATACCTTTCAATACTCCTGATAGGAGTAGTAGTAATAAAACTGATGCTGTTGATTTTCATCAACCAGTCATCAGCCGTCAACAACATTCGCCGTCACCACCACCACCACCTTTATTATTAACCAATCATGATATGAAGTCAGAGGCGGTGTCACCGGTTTTCAACTCGTCTACTTCAGCTGCTGCCTTATCAATGCATTGGAGTCGGCATACGGATAATCGACCACCTCGTTTGTTACCACTGAAGTTGTGTGAAACGAGTGAGTTTTTTTAGCTTCATGTTTCACTATTTTTTTGTCTATTTCAAATCGTGGAAAGTACACATCTTGGATAGGAAGTCCAACGATGTGAATATAGACTAAGAGAGGGGCTTAGAAACAAAATTACACGGGATTTTGTTGTAGTCGTGTAGTCTGATCTCGACGGTTTACTTGTGAAGCTTTCATTACCCTACTACGCAACGTCTTCAGCGCATACTTCAATTTGCTGAAGTGATGTTTTAATTTTCTCCACGAGTTTATTGATCATCATCTCTCCTGGTGGGTGCTCTGGAATGTGATTGGTTGTTTTTGCCTGTTTCCACACCGTCTAGTCTACTTGTGTGGGTACTGATTGTTCCTTTGACTTGAAGTTTGACCCTTTGTGTGTGTGAGGTTTCTTTCTTATCGATTGGTAGATTTCACCTATGTCGATGTGTCTATTGATTGACGATTCAATGGAATACCAGGATTCTAAAAATTCCCTAGCATTCTTAGCGTTTCCTCTGCCTAATATCTGAACGTTGTCCCAGTTGAATCGATGTTTGTGGTTGTCTGTCTTTTGACAGCTAGCTTGTGTTCATGGATGCGAAGAAGACGAAGAGGGTGTCCATTTAGGCCTAATGGAGTGGGTTTTTCTAATTCGTTGGAATTTATTTTGTATGATGATGTTGGTTTTATCTTCTTTCACTGTTTTGAGTCTTTTTGGATGACATACAGCCAGCTGAGTGAAGTGATTTTGTTGGTTTGTGTGTGACATCCATTCCCTAAGGTTTGAGGAGTCTTTCAATGATTTCTGACATATCCTTTATATGTGACTATATGATTTTCTTTGTGTTCACCTTGGTGGCCTTTGATTAGAATTAGAAAATACTTGCGTTAAAGATATGTTTAGTAGCTTTTTTTTTAACGAATACAGGTGTAAACGGGGATGAGCATGAAAACAAACTGAAATGAAAGGAATGAAAAACAACCAAGGAGTGAAACCGAACTAGATCCATGCATGGTAAATATAGAAGTTCGACTAGTTTCGTCTGAATACATAGCTCCGACTTTTTGGTGCATGTGATTAAGGCTTTTGTGGTATAAAGAAGTCGAAACACACACTGTCCTTCTTTGGTAGATTTTTTTTTACTGTGTATGAGTCAGTTGAGATGCCTGTGACACAGGTGTGGACGAGATGTTAGTTTGCGGCGCTTTTGATTCAACCAGTGCCTCCTCTTTGCAGCCATGTTTGGTAATGTTCTCTAACATGTTCTGATAGGATCCCCCCTCACCATAGGACGACGTGTATACCTAGCTTCTCACGAGCTGGTGAACTGATATACGTTTTTTGTTGTTTTTTTTATTTCACTTATAAAAAGACTATTATTTCAATTTGTGTCCATGTTGATCCCCTTCACATCTGTATACTCGTTAAAAGAAATCTATTTTCTTACCGTGTGTAATTTTGTTTCTGAGGCCCTTGTGGTCTATGTTCACGCACCTTTGAACTATCATATATCAAGTTGAAAGTTATTATCACTTTTAATCTGCTCAGCCGTCGTTATTATGTGGAACTAAGTAATACTGATTGTACCTAGTGTAAACTTATGCATATAAGTGCGATTGTGCAGTTGCCTTTTGAGAATGAAATCGTTGAAAAGATAGCTTAGCTGCTCTAGGACCTCGGCAGCATATCTCCACTTCACTCTGCTCTTCCTCAGTCTGTTTTTTATAGCTGGCTCCACGATTATTGACCATAATTTTTCATTTCCACCTTGTCACATGATCTTTTCCATATCACACTCTCTTGGGAGTCAGGAGGAACTCTATGTTCCCCATCCAGATTCCATTCAGATTCCAGCCTAGCGCGGTATGTCAATAAAGTGGTCTCCTCAAGTGTGTCCAATTCATCGTCATTTCCATTTACATATTTGTTGGGTCATAGATTCTTAGTTGGTTCGTTGTCTGCCAGAATTCCTTGTCTCTAATCCTTTTTTAACCAATGAGTGAAGGCAGATTTTGGCGTAATTCTCCAGCGGCCTGTTAGAATTGCTTTTCTGTGACTGACTAAGTCTCTGAGTCATATAGCAACAACTGCAGTAGCATTGAATTAACATAAGTGTTGAAAATTCGAATCTTCTTTTTCGTGCTGTGAATGCAGTGGATTTCCACTCTAATTTGAGATTAATGAAGGTCTCTCCGATGAAGTGAGGTTCGTATAAATTATATCAAAACTGTGTTTAGTTTATATATATATATTGTAGTACTGTAAATTACTGGACGAAAACGTTTCAAATTCAACGTGTCTTATCTGTAGTCATATAAGAGCTTAATTATTCTCTCAGCAAAGAATACCATCTCAACTCTCATAGAGTAGGTATATAATTTGTATATAGAGTTACTGAGTAGGATTGGTAATATTTAGAGCGTAAGTTAAAATGTCCATATACTTGACTGTCTATTATTGGTTTATTCTCTCTCTCTCTCTCTCCTGATCGGGAATATAAGTTATAACAAAGCATAGGTATCCAAAAGAACTTCAGGTAATCAAGTACTAGAAAGAACTACCTGATTCTTTTTCAATGATATGACCGTTAATTCATTTGGTAGGTGTTTGCTCTACTGAACTTCCTGTCTAGTCGATTTGCGAGCCTGCTATTGTAAACACTACTAATAACGACAACAACCCGATAGAATACTATGCCACTGAACCCGCGACACAAGGAAACAGACCATTGATTGTAAAGAGCTTTTACTGTCTCGAATCAACAGTGAAATTGGTTGAGAGCAATTGTGTATGAATTTATACTTTAAATGTCCTTGACTGCATTAATAATTTAAAACAGTCAACAGCCAGTACGATTCCAAGGTCATAAAGTGGGGGGGGGGTGGGAAATACAAAAACAGCACTGTACTGTGAAGATATTAATGTAGTATTTTAGAAAAAAAATTAAGTCTATATAACATTAAACATGATCAGAGAACTAACTAAATATTTCGGAAGGGTGATGAAACGTCAGTAAGAGTAGTCTTGCTTCATTTTCCAGTCACATTGGAAAATGTATTCATCAGGAGCAAAGTCATGTGTGATGTTGCTGAGGTAGGTGTGTCCAACTGCTTGTCAAAAGTCATACATAATGTCGAGTCTGAGAAGGCAGTAGGCCTTCAATGATGAATACGTTGATTTCGGTAGGCACAGCTTACTGTCGAATGAATGGTATTCAGATATATTACTGGTGTGTAAAAAGAGAGTAGATATTAACTGAAGGTGAATTGTATAGAAAAAAAACTATGAATTGCTTTCCCGTTTTTTGTGTTCTTCTTGGAGCATCTGAAACAGAGGGGCATTAATATCGTGTGAATTCAGATAGCCCGGAGACGACTGGTTGATTTTGGTTACATAAACAGCTTGTTTGAACTAGTTTTTTTGAGTTGTGTCCGTACTTAAGACCTTGCCTTATCGGCGATGGACTGTTAAGAGCTAATTCGGGATGTACAGTTTTTCAGGTATCTATCTTTTCTGGTCATTTCTCGCTTCAGAACGGATACACAGCATATCTGACTTGTTTGTCAGTCAGTTGGTACGACTTTGCACCCATAGGCCTGCAACAACATAGTGAAAATGAACTACACGCTTGTTTAACTCCTATCTAGACTACATTTCTGAAATTTTTGGGGAAATCAGTCGACGAGGCTGTGAAGTTACACCGTTTGAGATGGTTAGGACGTGTGTTACGTATGCCTAGACATCCGTCGCCTTCCTCGACAATGGGCAATGTTAGCTGACATAGGGTCAGACTGGAAAAGAGCTAGCCAGTGGTGGTCAAACCAAAACATGGCCTCGGCAGTCGATGAAATCTACAACAGTTAGTTTAAGCCACGTAGGGAGGTGTAAACTTCCTGACTGGTTGGGGTCCTCGGGATGGTAAAAACCAATGGTTGGAAACAATTGGTGATATGGCTCAAATTCACCGTTCTCAATAGCTGGTGCAGATGCATCCACTCCTTGTGACTTATGATTTCGAATGAAACTGTTTTGTTCTTCGTTGCTACTATTCCTTTGTCTCACACCTCCGTTTACTGTCTCTAATATGCACTTCTTTTACTGTCTTCTCTTGCTTTGTATTCTACATGGAGTGTGGCGATTTGAACTGCTGCACATCGATGCAAGATTCTATATCGAAAACAGACAGACAGACATTGTTGGACTTGCAGGAATAGTAGTTCCAACCCCACCTTAGCTAGTTGGGTCAATTTCCAAATGCACTGGAGAGAGAGAAGGTTTGATTACTGAATTTTTGTTCATAGAATCTACACCCTACATGTACAATAGGAATTACTCATCACTAATACTAGAAATATGGCGAAGATTACTACCAATCAAATAAAGACATGGAAAATAATGGAATTATATAAACGATGTCAGGAATTTGTGTGAGTAACTTGGTGACATAATTATGAGTAGTAGTGTAACAACAGAGAACAAGGCCAGGCAACAGATCATTTGTAAAGGAAATCAACACATATTTATAGATTTTCATGTACATATTATAGATTATTGTTAGCAGAAAAACAGTCTTTTGGTTGGTTGTTTCTCACAGAAAGTTAACCTTGCATTTCTTTGTGGCTCTTTCAGGAATGTCAGATCATCTATATGTTAACTGTATCCGCCTACTCAAAGCCTTTGTTCTCATTTTCTTCACGACCAATATTGGGATTGGGGACATAAACATTGACGTAAATTACTGCCCACCAATTTTGAATAACTACTAGCTCTCACCACAGTAGTTATAAATTGTGCTCGCAATGTTGTCATAAGAAAATATTACTGTGTTATTTCATTTTTTTTACTTTTAGAATGCTCAAATCAGACTGCTGAACCGTCTAGTCGAGTACCAGTATCTGCCTTCCCATCTTTCACTGCTTCATCTAGTCGTATAGACATTTCTGACGATAATAATAATAATAATGAAGATGATGATAATGAAAGTGATCAGTCGACTGTAGTGACACTTCCAATGACAGGTGGTGAAACACTTCAAAACACAGTCAACATGGAGTCGTCAATACAACAACATTGTATTATCGATGGTCAAGGCGAAAATTCTATAAACAATGATGACTTAACCATGACAGATACAGATGGATTAACAACATTGATCGCCTCTGAAGAAGATTTTGTAAATCATTCCTCGAAATTATCATCATTTAATGATGATGATGATAATAATAATAATTCCTGCTTTTCACAACAAAGCAGTGATGATGACCAGACAGTTGCTATGTGTTTATCAAATAGTTTAAGTCCACCGTATTTAGAAGATTCACAGAATAATAATTATTATACAATAAAAAGTCCTAATGGAAAGAAATTGAATCATACTGATGGTGGTGTTGGTGTTGGTGATGATGCTGAATTGATGACCTACTTCAATCAGGATCTTGAAAGTAGTCTATATCGACTCGGTGATGATGGTGATGATCCTGGTGATTATGATCACGGTCTACGCACACGTCATGCTTCAGAACCAACAAGGAAAAAATTATCCGTTGCAGATGTCGTGTATTCTCCGTTGGATGCTTGTCGTCGATGTCATAGTCATCCAGCCTTAAAGTTCAATCTTAAATCAATATTATCAGAGTCAGAGTCAGATGTATCGATAATTAAAATTGATAATCAATACTATGACAATGAGTGGTCATTGACTTCACCACCAGTTCATCAAGATACATCGTTGAAAGATCTATCATCAAATGACTGTTTAGCAAAGATGTTGATTAACTCTCCTTTATCCTCTGTGGATACTGTGGTTATCACTGCAAATGAATCAGTTGTAAAATCTGATGAAGTTGATAAGTACTCACCCATTGAGTTTCTTCCTGTCCCATCATTTACAAATAATCCATCCAATGGTACTATTGATGATGAAGAGCACACCACTGAGCTAAATGATAATGCCTCGTGTACACTGAAACTGCCTACCTCGTTACCATCTTCGCCTGCTTTCAGTCCTTCGTCTAATCATGATGCGGAGGCATTGAAATCCTCCTCCTGTATAGATTTCTCTGTCACTGTCAACTATCAGCATACACCCAAAACATCAGAACCTATTGACACTTATACTCCTAATGATGCTACTACGATATTGAATGCTCCTCCTTCAGACGCTACTACTACAACTATCACTGTTGAATCACCGTTTAATCCGACACCTGTTGTTGTTGATAAGGCGTCGAATATTATATCATTTCCAGCTGAAGAAATTGATTTCATCTCTGATCCTATTGTTCATACACCAGTTGCATCGTCTAGTATTCACTGTCCTACATATTCAAATCATCTATCATCATTATCGTCGTTATCTTCCTCGATTCCTGAAGGTGGTAGTATCCCTTCAAGTACTTTTCATACTAATACTGTTACGACTACAGTTGAGTACAATTCTTTGCCTGATCAACATATCTCTCCGTCTTGTTATTACCCTCCACGAAGTCATGAATACCTATCAGAATATACTAGTCCACAGAATGAAAGTCTACCTATTCTGATACGTGATCAAAAGCCAGACTTCAGCGCCACTGAATTAACGCATAACCACCATTCAGTACTTGATAATAGAATCGATAATAATAATAGTAACGGTAACTATAGTAATCCTAATCATCATAGTAATAATAATAATACTACAATAGATACTAAAAGCATTCTTATCACTAAAGAATTCTTTAATACACCTTTATCAAGTCAAGAAGATAAGACACTTATATGCGATACAGAGGATATTTTATCAGAATCTTCAAATTTTGTATCACCTGATACAGATCAGCTGATTTGTGGATCAGCGCATTCTTATTCTAGTTCTGTTCTCTCAAATATCTTTGATCAATCAGATTGTGTTGTTGTTCCACCGCAATTGCTACCGCTACCACCACCGATAACAACTAACAGTTGCACTAATTGTAGTAGTGTTGGTGAGAATAACAACAATACGCATTATAACCCTCCTATGAATACATTACATGATATGAACTTATTTTCTCAGAGATCTACTGAACACCTTCATAGTTTACCGTTGATTAATCCTGAAGTATTTTCTGCTACAACAACAACAGCAGCATCATGTGGTCCGTGTACCCCAGGTGATGGGAATATAAGTGGTGCTGGTGGTGATGATGGTAATACTGTGGTGCCTTTATCACCACAATTGGAGCAAACTGTGCAGCAAACAAGGGGATTGGAAAAATTCAGTTTAGCCTCTGATATTTGTCAACAACAAGCGTCAATTGTTTACGATATGATGAAATCACAACCTTTGAGTGTAATAACAACTACCTGTAACGCTAATAGTGTTTCATCACTAGTCACTCGTACAAAAAGCAAACGTGGCGGTGGCGGAGCCGGTAGAAAGACTTCGAAGACTACCAGAGGGAAACAGTCTAGAACGCGTTCATCTGTCCTGCCAGCTTCTTCTTCATCATTATCAATGCCACCCGCATGGTTGTTAGATTGTAATAACCATCCAATGGAGTTATCATCTCAGCCAAGACGTATATCATGTCAAGTTGTTCCAATGAGTGGATCCACATATAATATTTCTTATGATCATTACAATCATTCAAATGATACTACTACTAATAATAATAATAATAGTAATATGTGTAATTCGATAGGTGGTGGTGGTTTTCCATCCGGAACAACACTATTCGAACAATCTATGATGATGATGATGAACAATAATAATAACAACAATAACAGCATGTTATCAAATCCATTTTCATGTGATCCGTGTAGCTCAGTTGGATCTCATCAACAACTTCCAACAACATCATATTGTTGTAGTCTCACATCGATCGGCAGTAATGCTGGTGCTGGTGCTGGACCGTACAATGTGAACATGAATCATCTACGAGCGTATCACAATGTATGTTCAACGAATTATGCAAATATCAATGAAATACATGGAATTGATAATAGTAGTACTAGTGGTAGGAGTAGTGTGCCTTGTCCAATGACATCTCCAGTACGTATTTCTTCATGTGGTAGTAGTAGTAGTAATCTAGATTCTCAGTATTGTAATATGCCAATGATGGCAACAAGATAGGAGGTGGAGGAGGAACAGAAAGTTATCCGTGTAATCAGTCATCTATTCTTATTGATCCACAACAGCATCATTCAAGTCGTCAGGTAATGACACCACATCCTGGAGGAGGAGGTAGAGGAGTGGTAATGGATCAGTATACTTCGGATATAATGCTTAACACCACTAATAATAATCCATCTTTATCGAGTGGAATAAAGAAGGAGAGAATTGTGTCTATGAATAAACAACAGCACCACCAACAACAACCGCCTTCTACGCCAATTTATCCTATTTACTCAGGGCATACTGGATTCCCAGTTGTATCCAGTAATGCTGTTTCATCGCATTTTCAATTGTCATTGACATCGTCACCGTCGACTGGTGTCAGCTGTTTTACAACTAATAATAATTCCATTCTAGTAAAACCAGATTATCAGCATAATTACTCAGGTAATTGTAATCAATCATCTATACTTCCGTGTGCTGAAATTAGTCTACCATTTCAACACAATCTTCTTGATAATAATAATAATAATAATAACTCTGGAGTATCTCTTGCACAACTGCTGGCAATTGGTGGCGGTAGTAGTGGGGTTGGTTCTATTGTTCAACCGTCTTGTTCAAATATTCCATGTGATTTTATGCCGGCGGCTAGCAGCAGTAGTAGTTGTATTCTTTCAAATGTGAATCAGTCTAATCATTTTCCTACTCCTGCTATAGCTACTCCCTCTATCGCTAGAGCAGGAGCAGCACTCGCCGCCGATGGCTCTACGAATACATCGAATCTTTATGCTAACCAATTGAACACTATTGGTAGGAATAATAATAATAATAATAATAATGCGATTGGTGTTGGTGTGGGGAAACACCATCAAACATTATCTCAGCAACAGCAGCAGGATATCTCACCTCCAAGATTATTAGCCCTACCAAATAGTAATAATAATTATTATATGCCACACATTTCATCGACACTAGTGGAGGCAGCAGTCTATCAACATCTTCCTAATCTTCAAAAGGATTCATTGTATACTAATCATAATAGTAATAATAATTATTTCTATAATCCTTATCATGATGATGATGATGGTGATGACAATCATTCATCAGTTGGTGGTGTTGGTACGAGTGGTATACAACCGGCATCATTAGTAGTTGATTGGTCAAGAAATGATTTAGTGAGTGGGAAAGTTGGTGGACATTTTACACCGATACCATATCATCCAATGCCTACTTAATTGTGAATGTGAGTAGGTATGATTGATTGTTTGTTTGTTTGTTTATTTATTGGCAGTAATAGTAGTAGTAGTAGTACTAATTCTTTTTTCTTGTGTGTGTATGTGCGTGTGTCCGTATGTTTATTTGCTGTAATTTGATGCATTGTGGTGTCAAATATTAGAAATAATCCCTCTCCAACTCTCTCACACACACGCATATACACTCCTTCTCTGTATGTCTCTTCTGTATTTCAATTTGTATTTCAAATTCTCCTATTTTTTGAAGATAAAAGACTATATAAGATAATGAGATATTAACCCCGCCTGTCTGTCTCCCTCCCTCTCGGCCACCGCCACCACGACCAAAAAAAAACTGAAAAACTCAACAGACTACTACTAATAAACGTGTTAGTAGTTGTACTCAGCAACAATAAGAATAACAAAGAGAGTCACTTATTTTTTTAAGAAAACACAATTTTTTTTTAAATCTATGTACAAAATTTAAATTGTTTGTTTTGAGTGTGTGTGTGTGTGTGTAGGTGTGCTCGCTGCTTTTGTGATGGCGGTGGTGCCCAAGTTTGTGGAACAGGAAAAGGAAGATGCGTGTATATTTCTACTTTTCTTGGGTGAAGGTTGTCTGTCTGTTTTTTTTGTTTGTTAATTATTTTTTTTCAAGACGTAATAAACTGATATGTATAGAAATTGAGGATTTATTTTGTATTCTTGATGAGTTGTTCAGTCTTATGGTTGGTTTTTTTTACTGGTGAGGTTTGCTGGGGTGGCGAGGGGGAGGCGGAAAGGAAGACGCGTGAAAATGGTGGGTGAAGACTTCAATTAATATATCCTTGCAGATAAGTGGTACAGTAGGATAAGCAGTACTGAGGTGAGGTGTCGGGGGCTAGGCAAGGAGGAGGGGGGGAGGGAAATCAGTCGACAAGCTTACATTGACTGAAATGGTTAGAACGTGTGTTACGTATGTGTAGTCATCGCCTTCCTGGAAAATGGGCAATGTTAGCTGACATAGGGTCAGCTATTAGGGTCAAACTGGAAAAGAGCTAGCTAGTGGCGGTCAAACGAAAACATGGCCTCAGCAGTCATTGAAATCCACAACAGTTAGTTTAAGCCAGCCAGCTATGTAGGGAGGTGTAGACTTCTTGACTGGCTGGCTGAAAACACTCGGTGATATGGCTCAAAATCGTTCTCAAAAACGCAGGCAGATGCATTCACTTCTTGTGACTTATAATTTCCAATGAAACTATATTCTTCTTCGTTATTACTATTCCTTTTTGTCTCATATCCCTGTTTACTGTCTCTATAGTGCATTTCTTCTCTTGCTTTGTGTGCTGAGAGAAGTGTGGTGTCTTGAACTGCTGCTGCACATGGGTGCAAAGTTCTATGTTGAAAATAGACAGACAGACAGAAGTGGTAGATTTATTTTAAGGTCAAACCAATCAAATCTCAACACTTGAATGTCAGAAGACCAGTACTTTAGCGAAGTGTCTCTTTTCACCGGCGAATTCATTTTCATAGCTGTACAATCGCATATATATTTGTGGATGTTTTGTATGTGAGTGTACATTAAATTTGTAAATTAGTAAGGTAAATACAATAAGTAAGTTCAGATGAATTGGATGTTGATATAAGAGGGTAGTAACGAAAGTGATGAGTTGTCACAAGCGATTGTTATGAGTAATAATTTGAATAGTTTGATGAAAGAGTTGTGCTCAGGGTGTACATGGAAATAAAATAACATACGGAATTACTCAATAATTTTAAGTAGTTTGAAAAATAAGCATACAAACAAGAGTTAAGTCAAATCAACAGAGTTGTTACCATAAAAGAAGAAGAAGTGGTTGAATGTAATTCTTTTGTATGCATAGTTCTGGTTCTTCTTACTGAATAGCTAGGGCTTCTGCAATGCAAAGAAGACGGGAACATATTGTCTTTGGAAGGTTGTTCTTCACTTCGTAGATCACTTTGAAGCAGGAGGCGTTTTGTTGAGATGGGATGATCAGTGTTAACCAGGTGTTTAATTATCTCACTCCTTATAACACCACTATTACCTTTTCGCAACCATGCTAGATAGTGTTCTTGAATCCTCTTGGACAGGATGCGCGTCAAACGACCGATGTACCTGGCTTCACAGCAACAGGTGAACTGATATATACATAAATGGAAGTGGTCAGATGTGAGGTTTTGTCCTTTGGGCTTCTGTAGATCAGCAGGCGACTGGAGAACACTACTGTCAATGTTGCCGCAAGGAAAGTTCTTCTTAAAGAAGTGAAAATTCCCCTTGAATATCAATCTGATTTTCATAGGGAGTGTCCCTATTCAGGGGTGGGTAGTTGCCTAGGTTCTAATAGGAAGTCATGACTAGTTGAATGTGAATGTAAGTAGAAATACTCGCCACCGATGACAATGTCTATTGCCAGTCATACTATATCGCCAATTGGCCATTGGGTCAGATCCTGCTGCCTTAATGGTCTACGAGACTAGCTAGCCTCGTAACCCTGAGGTCCTGGACTCAAACCCCGGTGGGTGTGTATTGCTGAAGAGTCCCAAACTAGTTCGGTGAAACAGCTGTCAGTACTTCCAGGTTTTATAATGATTATTCTAGCCAATGTCCGCTCATAGTGTGAAATTCTGTAGCCAGGCCAGTTGAATGACTACACAGACCAAGACTTGATTGTTCAAATTCCATTGCCAGCTGACAACGTCATCATCTCTGGTATCCATAGACGTGATATTTTCATTTTATGATATTTATCAATAAATCCTCATCTAGACAACAATGAAAACAGAACACACATTTCAGTGAAGAGTCTGTTTTCACTGGTGAATTTATTCACTCAGCTCTACATAATCGCAGTTATATGTGTATATAATTATTTCTTTTGTATGCGGATGTGTACATTAGGTTTGACAGACAAGAATAAAAATTAGTTCAGGTTATCGTTCACGTCATCAAAATATTTCAGAAAACTGTGATGATGAATAATCAAATTATAACTAGGCGCAAGGGGGGGGGGAGTCTTGACTAGACGATTACGTAATATGAAAGACGACGTCCTGAAAAGTAGAATTGTTAATGGTGGAAGAGTATGCAGGAAAGTATTCACAATAACTTATTTGGTAGGTAAAAAAAAAGATTAAGTAGGAATTCATTTATGCCTCACATCTACTATCTTCAAATTCCAAGGCAAAAAAAATGTATAGACAAACAGACGGTGTAGCAATGGGATGTGGATCACTAATATCCCCTATTGTAGCAGATGTATTTATGGATAGTTGGGAAAATATGGCTCTTAATACATTTAATCCTACTCCAAAAATATGCTGGAGATATACGGATGACACTTTCGGAAACAGTGTTGAAAACAGAACAGATCCCTAGCTTCTTGACACACACACACACACACATAAAATCACTAGTAGAAGGAAGAAAATTCACAGTTGAATCGGAAAATTAACGTGGAGAATTAGCTCTAGTGTCAGATTGTAAAAGAAAACGAATAGAAGAAGGTCAGCTGCACACTAGTGTTTATAAAAAGCCAACGCATTCTGCTAATAGAGATATTTAGACTTTAAATCATCTCATCTGTTAACTGTTTATGAAGACAAGCTTGGTTAAGTGTCTAACAAACCGAACAATAGCACTAAGCAGTACAAAAAAGACCTGAATGATGAAATAAAACAGATAGAAGAAGCGTTGCTATTAAAATAAGTATCCTATAAAATTCATTAAGAAGATCAGTAAGGCAAAAAGCAAAATAAAAATAATGGTAAAACTAGTAATGATAGCATAAAAAAGAGAGAATATAAGGCATCTACTGTTATCCCATATAAGGAGGGGACGTCTGAAACCCTACGTAGTAGGATTCTGAGTAAAGCAGGAATTAGAGTGGCATTTAAACCTACAAACTCACTCAGGCAGCGATAAGCTCTGTAGGTTAAAGGACAAACAAAATAATATAATTTACAAAATACCCTGGAATGACTGTGAGTTAAGTCAACTATATAGGTCAAGCTAGTAAGTCGGAGGTGATCAGATTGTCGAAACATAAGAATTTAGCTAAGGTAAGAATGGTTGACCCCGAGAAGATAGTAATTTAGAAAAAGACTCAGCGATTGCACTGCATGCATTCACACACAACGACACAATGGGGTGGGAGAGAGTTTACATTCTAAGACGTAATATAAGTAGGTAGATGGAGAGAGAGTTGATTCCTGAATCTTTGTTCATCGAGTCTACACCCAACACATTCAATAAGAATGATTCGTCACTCGTACCGGAAATATGGAAAATACTACTACCAATCAAATCAAGCGATGGAAAATGATGGATTTACATAAACAAAGCTAGAAAGTTGTATGGTAGTGCCTTGATATGATTATCAGCAGCAATAAATTGTGCTCGAAACGTGGTCATCAGTAAATATGACTGTATAACAAACACCGTGAGACCTTATCAAAGCAAATTTTACCCATAATGGAATTATACTCTACGACAGTGCACAAGTTTTATTCTCATATCAGTAAGTAGAGGATTAGTTAAGAAAATGATGTTACACTAAAGTGTTATACAAAAAAGATGCACCAAATAGTTGAACTTGGAATTATACTCAAGGTAGAAGGAGGGGTTCAATGGTTTTTCTATGTTGAAAATTGTTGGTCAGTCGGTCACATGGTACACTAATGTACCCCATAGTGTGCTAGTTTAAGTTGAATTACTTAGTTTGTCAGTTTGACGTGTTATGCATCATGAATTGATACTTCAGCAACTCTTGTTTTGTGGCGTTGCTGTCACTTAATACCTTCGATGAGGATTAGCAGGTTTTTGCATCCTACTAGGTAGCTTAAAAGTCCCTATTAGGTTACATAAAAATAAGAGGCATTCAGTGAAGAGAGTTACTCTTTTCTTTTTATAGCGATGTCATTCTTAGACTGTGTATTTTCACATGTATAAAAATACCTGCACAACAACCTAATTGGTGTCTTTAAAGACGTGTTATTGAAACCGT